AAAATGTGGTCGGCATGTGCGTTCTCTAGAGAAAAGGCTCCGCCGCCAAACTCGTGGGCCTTTGGATATGAGAGGGGAGTCGACGGCTGAGTTTTGGAGACATGAGAAATTCTATAGCTCCCATCCATCGAGCCGGCAACAATTGGAGAATTGATGGGGAATCTTGGGTTATGCACATCAACTGGCGAGGGCATTGGGTTTTTGTCACTAGTCGAAAGATCGACGATGCGTCGTTTAGTGTTCCTCCGGCGCCTCGTTGAGCTCGTGTTGGTTTCGCTGGCGACGGCCTTTGGCACTGGCCTCTCCTTGCGCAGGACGGCAGCCTCCTTGACAGCACTATAGACGACGGTGGGCTTGCTTACATCGACGCCTCGCACCTCGGTCACGATCGGCTTCACCACGGGGACAGACTCGGGAATCGGGACTCTGTCAACCAGAATACGCTTTTCAGATGAGCTGGGGCCTGAGCCATCGATGACGATGTCCTCGGTGTACCCCGGCGTCTCGCGGAACAGGTTGAAAATGACGACACGGTAATCCTTGTGAGTGCGGGCAAAGGGGTTGCCCTCGACCCAGATTTCACGAATCTCGGGAATTCCAGTCAAGCGTGCAAGTTCCTTGGGGTCTGTAAGGCGGTTGTCTCTAAGGTCCAGCCTTTCCAAGGGATACAGCTTTTCGATTCCGGCGAGAGACTGCAGTCTATTGGCTCGCAGGTTGAGAGCGGTAATGGCCGGGAGGGGGTTTCGGGTCAGGGAGTGCAGAGAGTCAATCATGCAATGAGACAGGTTCAGGGCGCGGAGAGCGGTGAGGGTGGAAAGGCTGTCCGGGATTTGGCTGAAGAGATTGGATGACAAGTCGAGGGAGAAGAGGGTGTTGGAGAGAGGAGCCAGGCTTGATGCTGGAATCGACGTCATGGGGTTGTCTGCCAGGCTGAGATGCCTCAGGAAGCGCCACTTGGACGAAGGTAGGACGGTGTTTCCCAAGAGGTTGGCAGAACTGCCTCTGGAGTGGTGATGGTACCAAGAGTCGGATAGGCTAGAGTTGGAACTCCCGGATCCGGAACGCCGCATTCTCTGTTGAGATCGGACGTGGTGGGTGTGATTACGAGAGCTTGATGGGCGTGATGGGGAATTGCTCCTCGGCCGAGAGTCCTTGTTTAGAGAACGCGAGAGGTCATCCGTAGATTGTCTTCGCAGGGTGCGGGCCGAGCCATCGGACGTATTACCGTCCTCAACGGCAGCCTCGCTGGGAGCCATCGAGCCGACACGAAGTTCACCCAGGGAGGACCGTGGATCGGGAGAGCCGGGAATCGATACCGATCGGGGAAATTCACGACCCGACATGGTTGGGCTCTTGCGGGGGCTATGGCTCCCGCTCCAAGGTATTGAGGGTGAATGTTGTGACTTTGACGTCCTGCGGCGCCTCTTGTCCATGTCGTCCAGGACGATGTCGATCAAAATATCAGCTGGATCTTCGATGCCGGCATGCTTGAGCGTAAGCGAGCGGAGCTGATCGGCCATGCGATCCCAGCCAAAGAATTGACGAAAGTCAATGTTGCTCACTTCCAACGCCTGGACATTTTTAAAGACGTAGAGGGGGACCGCAGAGTCAAAGGGAAACTCTTCGTAGCCCTTGATGAGCCGAGCTCGCCAATCAGGGGCCAAGCGAAGACAGGGGATCTTGGTGAATGCGGAATACAAGTACTTCATGTCGGCCTCCAGCGCGGCCTTTTGACGCTCCGTCCGAGCAGCAGATATGCTGGCGCCGATGCCGAAGCTGGCCCACAAGGCAGACATGCCAGACATGACGCTCCGGATGCTGGAGACGGAGTGGATGGAGCCGACATCTGAGCTATGGCTTCTAGACCGCTGGGTGTTGCTCAGAAATGACACGTAGTTTGCAGAAGATGAGCTGTCGTGGAGATCCTCCAAGCGAACCTTCATGGGCCCCACATTGATACCCAATTCTTCGAAGCGAGAGAGGAGATAGAACAGGTGGTGGGGAGTGAGGGCGAGCTTCGCAGACTTTACGCCGTGAGAGGAAAAGTTGAGCGGCCCCAGAGACAGAGCGTTGGCAAAGGAGCTGGTGCTGGAGATTGCGGTTGAGGGACGCTCAGGAAACGTCGGAGCCTGCGGGATGGTGGCAGAGCTCGTGCTTTGCGTGGCTCGGTGACGCACATCGCGGCGCTGAAGCTGCAGGGCGTTGGCGAGAGCCTTTTCGTTGCTGCGCACAAAGGCAGCAAGTTGCTGTTGGAAGTTAGCACGCCGGTCTCCTGGTAGCAGAGGTAAACTGCTGCAGCAGCGTATTTACCTTGATAAACAAGCTTCCGTCTTCTGAATCCATTGCTGTGGTATTCAGGGTCATATAGACATCGGGGGTAAAGAAGACAGTTTCGCTATTATATATTTCGCGGAGGGTAGAAGTGAAAGGAGCGGCGAAAGAGCGTCGCAAACGGTCGAGTGGGAAGAATACAACTGTGCTGAATCTTCGACGTCCGACTCGAAAAACCTAATGCCCTTGTGGTGTAACAACTTTACACCACACTCTGTATCGATTCGTTAGCGACAAAGAAGCGAAAGTTGGTTGCCATCAGCGGGTACAATGCGAGTATGGGGGGAACTGGGGAGAATAGGGTTCAAGAGGAGAAGGAGACAAGTTCGTGCGTACATCTAGGACGTAGCACTGCGAAGGGGGAGGGGGGAACTGAGAGGATGCCAAGATGGACCCTTTCACAGAAACGTGAACAAACTGGCAATTGGCTATCAAGCAGGCTGGCCGATGAGGCGATCATCTTATCATCCTGCCCGTTCCCTTGGCCAAGCCCTTGAACGCAGAGAGGCCTCACCAAGCTTCCGGCGGCCACGGAGGACAGGACAGAGACTAGACACCCGAAAGAAGACACCAGGATATCAAAGTGGCATCGCCACGGTTACTGCTAACTGGCTGCAACGAAGCACAGGAGGATGGCAGCCAAGAGGGTGCCAAGGGGGCAGTCGTACGCGAAGGGCAAAAGATGTGAGGGTTTGTACGAGGCAGGTGGTGGTGGTTGGACAATAGTAGTAGCAGTAGTAGAGGAGGCAGCGGTTGGGTTTGGGGAGTTGATTTGACCGAGGGAGAGGATCGCCGCGACGGTTTATTTCCCCCTCGTCGGTTCCTTTTCTTGTTCTCGTTCTCGTTCTCGATGGCCGCAGCAGGCAGACAAACAGGCCGAGCGAAACATGGTCAAAAGAGTAAGGCAGGCAAGGCGAGGCAGAGGCAAGGCGAAGCGAGGCAAGGCAAAAGCAAAAAACAAGCAAGCAGAAGAGCGGCCGGTAGCTGATAGCAACGAAGCAAAAAAACCAAAGCACCGCACCGTGACTCACCTCATCAATCGCAGAAGAAGGGGAAAAAATATATATATATATAAAGAAGAAGATGATAAAATAAAACAAAAGACCAACAGGACAGGACAGACAGGCGACCAGGTCCGCCAACGAAGGGGAAGACAAAGGGCAAAAAGTCGTAAGCCGAAATCTGCCGGCAGATACTCCAGGCTTGATTGATGGCGAGGCTTCTGATTTCTCAGAGAAGCGTTTGCCTCTTTGCAAAGCCTTGCAGCCCGTCTGTAGTCGCGCAGGTTCGGCGTTGAGCAGACGAGGGAAAGGGTCCAGAGGCAAGGAATGGAGGGGTCTTGGGATCGAGGTCTCTAATAACAAAGCGCCTGCCAGCGGTGGGCCTGGCGACAGGGCCCTTCTGATGCCTGCTGATTGGGGAGGGTCACAGGTCATCTCGCTGGGCCGGGGGGGTGGGCCAGTCAAAGCACAAGTACCCGGTACATGCACTTGATCGAGTCTTGCCGCGCTCCCAGGCGAGTTGCTGTGCACCGGCCAATCAGTGGTGGCGTCTCTAGCACTCGCAGGCCCGGCGAGTGGTTTGCGGCAGCACGTCCAATCCCTCGCCGTTTTCGCTGCATTGGAGCCCCCTAAACACTACATGTACAGGTACCTTGTGAGCGCGAGCACGAGCACGAGCACGCACCAAGGCAGTTGAGTCGCAGCAACGGCGTCGACTCAAGGGAGAGTCTGTCTGTTTGCCGTTGTACTCGACTCTCTCTCTCTCTCTCTGTCTCTGTGCTCGGCATGGTTGTCACCTTTTTTTTTTTCGCCTCCGACAGAGCCAAGAGAAAATAAAATGCCCTTATCTTTTCGTCGTCTGGCCATGGCCGGGCTATGGAGCTTTGGCGCTCGTATGTACTCGCTACTATCCCGGCTGTGGCGCTAATCTATGGAGCCCAATGACAGGGTCCTGCGGAGAGAGAGAGAGAGTCCAGTCTCTTTGGCTCTTCTTTGCTCTCAGCCTGATAAAGAGAAATAGTTACACGCTAGGGAAACGGTTTAGAAAAAAGAAACAAAAAAAAGGCCGGAGGATACTGTAGAGAGAAGAGAGAGGGGAAATGGCAAAGATAGCGACAAGTGCGCGATAAGCTAACAAGAGTCCGGCTCGAGACAATTATCGACGAACTCCAAGACACGGAGTTTAGAAGCACATCAGCGTCCAGTCCAGACTTCTCTGTACGTGGACTCGTACTCATACGTACAGTAGAATGTAGAACAAGTCGGCATGCAGCCAACGCAGCGCGCAAGAGGAACTCCATGGTTCGGGGGTGTCCAATCACTGCTCAGATTGGTGATGTTGACTTGGAGGAGGGTCCATCCATCATGTGGGGGTTCCTTTTTTTTCTTCTTCTTTTTTGGCGCGAGCAGGGATGGATCCTTGCAGCAAGGCGCAACCCGTGAAATGACGAGTTTGGCTACGTAAAACACGGCGGAGTGACGAAGTGATGGGCTCGTTTCAAAGTCCGCACGCCAATCGAGAGGAGCGACGCCGGTCTGTCCATCGTCATGCGCTTGTGTCTTGTTTATGCGGCCGGCGGCTTTGATTGTTCTTTCTTCTTCTCCTTCTTCTTCCTTGAATTACCATTACTACCTGTACCTTGGGTGAATGTGCAGTAGAATCACATCATGGCAGCTCGGTCCAAAGCTGAGCAGAGAATTGAGGGCGAGAAAAGAGAGGCACACGACCCGTCTGCGGCTGACAGCAACATGGAAGCAACCCCAGCCCGCGGAGGTCTCATTCGAAAGCCCAGCCCAGCCCAGCCCAGCCCAAGCCCAAGCCCAAGCCTAATAGTATTTTTGCTGCTCCTTGCTCTTCTCACGCACCACCAGCAATCCCAAGATCCAGCCAGTGCCGGTGCTGATTGGGCGACCGTCTTCCATGGCCGTTTTAGGCTCGAGATCGCTGAGAGCCACTCCCTACCTTACCTTACATGTACTTGCTTCACAGCCGCCGATGGTGTGTCTTGGACGAGGTTCCAGATACATGTGCCGTCCTGTCCTGTCATGGGACTGGGTGGCTGCGAGACATTGCCCAGCTGGTCTCAGACAGCGTCGCCGTTGACTGGCCGCCCGGTCAACACCACATGTAATTTCGCAGCTGAGCGCCAAAAGCAGAGGAGCGCGTGCATGGCTGGAGTCGGATGCAGCCACCCAATCCGAGATGCGACTGGCACTGCTCGGAATGCGCTCGCCGAAAGGGCTCCAATCGGCCATCCCCTGTCAGGCCAGTATCATGAATCGATGTTTTTTTCTTGGGTGCGCCTCGCCCGCAGCCAGGGACGCTACTGGAACTCGCACAATGCCCATGCGGAACCTTGTGCCTGGGTTGGTGAACATTCTCTGCCAGAAGGAGATTTTGATGCCAAGTTACCATGGCGACACCTCAGCTCGAGCCCACGGCGATGCTGTACCCCGTACATGTACGGAGGACTAGGTAGCATCCGTCATGGCGTGACCCCCGATGACAAGGGCTCACATGCTTGCATGATTCTAGACAATTTAGAGCATCCGTCCAAACGGAATCTGAAAATTCCAACAACAGGTAGCAGTACGAGTACAGATGGTAGTGGACTCGCTCGTTCCAGGCGCTATGCTAGCATGAGATCTGTTTCTCCCGCTGCGGTAGCAGTTGCAGCGGCTGACGCGCGCCGTCCGTTCACCGGGCTGTCCACCTTGATGTTGATCATGTCTTGGAGGTACTTCCGCAAACGGCGTCCTCGTACGAGGGACGTGCTCACAGTATTCTCTGGATCTCGGAACATCATGCCATCGCGTTAGCCTTGTGGGATGTTGGCCACGGCCAAAGCAGTAAATGGGCGCATGAGTGACAGCTTCTGGTTACCAGTGGACGGCATGGCCCGGGTTGACATCATCTATTTCCGGCGAGAAAAGAGGCATCATGACCTCTGTCCTCAGCTGATTGATGAGATGCTATAGCGAATCATGGCTCGAGCCGCACCGCTGAGCTTAGACAGCGAATGGAGTCGGCGACCGATCCCAAATCCACCTGCGGCATAAATCGCTACCCGGGAAATGTCCACGAGGAAACAAAGGAAGAAAGGACGTCATTGTGCTTGCTTGGCGATGGGGAACAAGTCCAACGTATGATGCTGCTCAGGTGAAATTCCATGATTCTATACAGCATCCTCCAAAGTTGCGGTATGAGAACGACTCGAGTATACGGTACAATACGGCATCCTGCCCGGAGGCCAAGGTATCGGATACTTGATGAAGATCTTGGAGCCTCCTACCCGCAACATGTGGGGTTTTGCGCCATATTGCGTACGAGTGGTGGCAGTGAATATCAGTATCGTGTACTCACATGTTGTATGCGCATGTACTCGGTACCTGGACCTGGCACGGCGCCCTGGTACCTTGCCGGAGAAGCATCTCCAGTCGAAAAAAGAAAAAGAAAAAAAAAAAATGCTCCGCGCCGGGCCGGGCGTGTTCCTGCCTCGTACCTTGCCAGCTAAGAACAAACAGAGTCGAGTCGGTGCTGTTCCCTTGGCCAGAAAACCGTCCCCGTACAGTAGCCTCCCCGACCAGATATGTATCACACACTTGCAGTCAGTTCCGATCGCTGGAGCTGGGATTAACAAATCCAGTGATGAGGCTAGTTTGTACTTGTAGCCTCGCGGCCCTTTTTCCCACCCACTCGCATGCAAGCCGCGCCTCTTTGAGATGAAGTGTGGCGGGTCTGGAAATTGCAAGCCCCGCTCTTTGGTCGCTAAACTTAGCGCTGGTCGTTTCGCGGGCCCCACAAGCTCTCCCGAATGACATGCCCGTCACGGGCCCTGCGCCAAACCCGATGAAAGAGGGAAAATAAAAAGGCAGAGAAGAGAGATGGGCGAGACATGATCTATCCACGAGACTCGCGATATCCATGGTGTTTTGGTCAGCCCGTGCCATTGGCGTTGCTTCCAAGGGGGTGGCATCGCATTTGCGCGCACCATCTTTTCGCCTATCTGCGTGCACATGCATGCACCTACAGTACAGAGGTACCGACCTGTATTTAGGTACTCGATGCATCGCGAGTCACGAGGCAGACACACAAGCCTCGTTTTCTCTCTCTTTTATTTTCTTTCTCTCTCTCTCTATAGTAGCTCTGCATAGCGATCTACGAGTACTCACCATGTGCCAATGTCGATATTTACGATAGTACTACATAATAGCACTCGCAAACCCTCGAATGGCTATGTCATAATCCCCCGCCGGCCGTCTTCTGATTGGGACAACAGGCATGTCACTCCGAACGACAAGGATTGCCTCGCATCGTCCGGACAAGAACAAGCCACTCCCACTCCCACCACCATTCCCTAGCATTAGCACGACCCCCACATTGCCTCTGCGCAAAGGGCTCTGCCAAATCTGAGATTTGACCAACCATCTCGTTAGCTTAGTAGCCTAGAGGCTGGGCGCTGCTGGGACTATCATAAAAAGACAGAAGGCCGACTCCGTCTCGTCTCAGAACGAAGCGACAAGAGACGGTTGCATCCAACGCAATCCCCCCTTGCGTTTCGTCTGTCTGCTACTGTAAGCTGCCGGGAATCAAATCAGGGTTGCATGTACATGTACTCGAACTCGTCCTCCATACAGCACGGGCGACCGTAGACTCGAACTGTTTTTGTAGCGCATCGCATTTCGCAAGACATCAATCCATCTCGTTGAATTTCAGCCGCCCTCTCGCTAGTCCGACGTTTGCCTGAGCCCGAGATTTCAAAGGACCTCGAGAGCGACGCCATGTCCACATTTAGCCGAACGCCCGTATCAGTGATCAGCGCGTTCCTCCGTCCCAAGCAACGAGTCCAGTCCAGTGCCATCTCGACATGACACAACGCCCAGTGTCTGACTAAGAGGCACCGCACAAAAGCCACTTTGGCGGACCGACAGATGGTCCAAGGTTGAGGCTATACTTGTACAAGTGATGTGCGCAGCAATCGCGGTTCGCCATGGTTCGACTTTAGGTAGTTTGCCCCTCCATTCACGCTTCGAATCTCTCCGCCCCGAGATGCACGGCATGCCGGAGACAGTCCGTGCCACACCACCTTTGCTCTCTATTTGCGGCTGGATCGCGCTCACCGCCTCGACGTGCGCACCGGGGAAAATGTGCGCGACAAGGTGCTTTGGCGCCGTGGCGAGGCTCAGCCCGCAAGCAAAGTCTGTTGTACGGAGTCGACTACGATGAACTCTGTGTCTTGTTCTTCTTCTCGTTACATCCATGTAATTTCGACGTGAGCTTGCTACTCATCTCTCTCTTCACTCCATCATCTGCTCAGCTCCGAACTGCTGGTGCGCGTACGAGCACGGTACGGGGCATCACGACTGGACGAGATTCTTCGTCCAGGCGCCTAGCCGGAAAGTCTCGACCTCTGTGAGACACCGGAGAGGGCGTCAGCTTGCCACCCTGCGTACAATGTCTGGCACCATGCAAAGCCACCTCTTGGCTGCTTTGTCCTGTCTCAGATAAGCATCAGACTCTCTCCATCACTCCTCAACCCTCCAATCTGAGAGCTGCCCTGCTGTGCTGTACTCTGCAGATACCTGGTCGTGCTACGAGCAACGAGTACGGGTGTTGGTGCTTGTCTGTACCAAGCAAGGAGCAGTCGTGGTTCGCTTCTGCTTGTGTGCCAGGGATGTACTCGCATGGTGTGTTGTCGCCCAACCAATAGACTGCCATTGTTTATGAGAAGTGAAAACGTAAACCAACAGCCCACGCCGAGAAACAGGCGTGGTGTACCGTATCGTACTTGACACACCTACGACAACGGTTGGCGAATGATTCATGTCACGTATGGCGTTTTGTCGTCAGCGCCATTCACCAAGTGGTCCTTTTCACATCATCCCATCATACTACGAGTATATACGATGGTCGGGAGAATGTGCAAGTAGGTACTCGTACCTCTACATCTACCTCTACCTCTACAAGCATCCTCCTCCACACAAAGGCTGGGGTAGCGTTTCGACGTCACTCGGACTGCGTACCCCAGTTAAGGGATACCCTTACGGCAGTCTCCAGAACCTGGTAACGGTAGCATCCAGTGTTAGTCCTGCTACAAGATGCCTCCTACTGGATGCAACAACCAAGCGACGATCCTCCGCCAGACCCTGATGGGCAGGCTTGTGTGCAGGGTCGATAGTCGATACCCTATGCCTATGTAGAGTCTGAGACCCCGAGTTTCTCTCATCTGCCGATGAAGATCGGGCTTCCATGTTGCAAGGTTCAGGTTCGTGTTGCCTTGCCCCGTGCCCCCTTGGTGTTGCGTCGTGTCGTTGCCCATCGGCCGTTGAAACTCTTCAAGACATGCCACTTACACCGGCGAGCACATGCATGCATATCGGTGGACTTACACGTAGCAACGACATCCAATATTACATCCAAAAGTTTCTAGTAGACTCATGCGCTGTTAGCCTGCCCCTCCGATTTTTCTGTGGACGAAGATGATCACCGCGTCCCCACTGAACTAGTTTCCCCAGCCATGACAAACTAAGCTGAGCCTACATGATGCTCCGTACATCTGTCTAGGGAAATATCCCCATGGATGACTGATTTCGTTACGAAACGCGAGGGCATGAAACGACTCTGGAGATCGTCACGCCCCGGCCACGTCGCTTGGCTCTTTGACGACATGAGGCCAGCTCAACTCACAGCACGCCAAAATGTCTCTTGGACGATGGCACTGCAGACTTTCTCTCAGCTTTCTTTCTTTCTTTCTTTCTTTCTTTTTTCCCCCCTCTAATGAGGCTCGGTGTTTGCTTCCCAGGGATCTATTCTGGCTTGGCGCGGTACGAGCGGCTGTTCCATAAATATCACCAGCGGACCCAGGCGACACATGACTCCAAAGTGGGCATTCCAACGTCAAGTCGACGGGATTTTACGGTTTGCCATGTCTCCGACAATCCCAAAAGGCCAGTCAGACCCAGCACACCGCTGCAGCCCAGCAAATGCTGTACGGAGGATACGATACGATACGTGAATGTTGCGAGCACATCGACGATGGCGGCCAGCAAAGAGTCTGCGGATAAGGGCCCTTGGCCAGTCTCTCTCCTCCTCCACTGGCTGGGAATAGCTGCACGTCTTTGGGCTCTCTCTGGCGCCCCCCCGTCCAAGCCCGGTGCGTCATACCTGCCCGTCTCGTCTTCATGCTGCTTGCTGCTAATGCACGAACGCCGCCATCGCGGTGGAATGGCCAGACCCTTGGTTGGCTAATCACGTCGAGCAGCGAACACCAGCTTTTCTTCTTATCAATTGCCAATCCTTGCTGCGGGGGATCGTCGCCACCTGCGCCATGGGCTACAGTAGACCGCAAGGCAAGGTAAAATACGCCACTTGGGCGAGAATGGCCCTCCGTTCCCACTAGGTACTACTATTTGCAATGGTCTCAGATCGAGGGAACGATAATCTTGAGTCGTGATGGTTTTTAGCAAACGGGGGAACCTGGATGGAGATTACCACGGGCGTGTGATTCAGCTGTGAGATGTTGCGATCTGCGTCGGTCAGTTTTTTTCTGTGCCGGCTGACAGTCATAACAGCGGTGAAGAGTTCATCTACGTTCCACAAGCCGAATTGCCTTTTTTTGCTTCTTCTTCTTTCTTCTTCTTGCCTCTGGTGGTGTAGCCGCAGGTTTGGTTTGCCTTTCCCCCCACCGATGACAAGCAGTGAGAAAATTTAGGGGAGCTGGGTGAAAAGGTCTAGAACTGGGAACGGCACCATCTACAAGACCGGATGCGCGATGACATGTTCCACAAGTACAGTAGTTGCAGCTCGCAAGACAGCCTCT